TATTTATTATGCAGAAATTCTATGGAGCGATAACTTTCTTAATGAGTTATTTATGAATTGATTATCGACATTTTTTTTCAAGTTTACTTATTTTATGGCATGTATCTTAAATAGAGTATTCTGTAAATTTTAAAAAATTAAAATGGTATTCATTATGTAGAAATTCTATGGAGCGCGCGATAACTTTCTTATTGAGTTATTTATGAACTAGTACGAGTCTCTTGCAGTGCACACATTGAATATTTACTAGTATTTATAAATTAATAATTCTTATTAAGTAATTTTTGTAAATTAATAATACGGAATCAATACGTAATACAATTACCTATTACATATACTAATTTATTGAAAATGTGTATATAGAGTTGAAAGTGTATAAACATAAAAATGTCTATTTAAAATTAGTACACAACCCGCGTGGTGCACATAACTGATAATAAATCACATTTTATTCGTTTCAAAATAAGTATTATTTCAAAAATTTTATTCAGAAACTTGATTTAACTATAATGTGATTACATAAAATAGTTATTTTGGTAAAATGTTAATATATATTTAACAACCTACATAAATAAAAAGTATTGATATAAAATTTATATTGTTTAATTACTTAAAATACTTTATTTTTATATAAACTATTCAAATAAAAAAATAAGTTGTTGAGTAATTTATTAAATTATAAATAATTAACTATTTCGTTTCGGTCCAAGATAGCATTGGCCCGTAAATGATTGTGTAATTTAGTAAACTATAAATAATTGACTATTTCGATTACGTCCAAGTTAATAGTGACCTGTAAGTTATGAATAATTATATTTTATTTTTAATTTAAATAAAAGACTTTTTTTTTTATGTTATATAACAAATTTAACCATGCAACTAATAAATGTAGTAGCTGCAAGTTTTGTCAATATATTATATTTCAAATCTAGATCATGCAACTAATAAAGATAATAGCCATAATACTTGACCAAAATGATTGTGTACATTAATCTAGGCGGAATTATTTTAATTTTTACCAAAGATATTACTCAATGTAGTAAATATTTAGGCGAGAAACTAAATATGTTTTTTGCTAACTAGTGTGTACCCCGTACGATGCACGGAAACAATATTAAATTAACAATATTATAAATAGACCTCGAGTTTGAGACAATCAATGGCGGAAGTGGAAACTACTATTATTTAAAAAGTGGAAGGAAAAAAAATATTATAAATTAAAGAGGAGGATAAACAATACTTAATAATTATAATTTGAAGATTCAAGGTCAAACAATGTAAAATTATTTTGTATAAGAGAATATAAATTTTACATTATTTTGTATAAGAGAATATAAAATTTGCATGTATAATATTAAAAACATCCAAATATTATATTAATATATGTAAAAGTATTAAAATTTTCTATATTACTTTTGAAAGATATGAAGTCACCTACAATTTTTTTAAACAATTTTAGAAGAAAAACATATCTAAAAACATTTGAATTTAACATTGTGTAAAAAAAGATTTTTCTAGACTATTGTAAAGAAAACATGTCTACAATATTTGAATTTAAATTAGTTGTGTATATGTGTATATATATGTATATATAGACGAATATGTAGAAAAAAAAAGTATAAACAATTTGTCTAGAGTATCTAAAATATTATAAGCCTAATTCAATAAACATATTATGTCATATGATACCGAATTTATGACGTTACTTCCATCTAAAAAAATTTGATCACAATTTCAAAATTATTATTATAATTTTTACGTTGTTATTGAGGATGTATTGTTAGCTTATAATATTTGAAAAATGTTAGTCATTAGACCGATGAAAATTAGTTTTTTAGAGTATATAATTAATTTCAAGTAGTAATTATAAATTGGTTTTTATTTTATTTTATTTTTTAAAATCTTTATAGATAAGAGATGAGATTTTTTAAACATTTGTAACAGATAAGAGATAAACTCGTATAGATTTATGCTATGAGATTTTATAAGCTATTATACACACAATTTTAAAATTATTATACTTTTTACATT